TATTGTTCCTCAGACTTAGCCATATCTCACCTTCATTTCTTCTTTCTTTCCTTCTTTACTTGTTTCTTTCCTTCTTCTTTTCCTCCCTCCCTCCCTCCCTTCCTTCCTTCTTTTTTGCTATAACCATGCACAATTACCTCTACTCTTATTTATTCAATATTCTCCTTTACATCAATTTCCTTAAAATGCTAAATAAAACAACAACAAAAACCCATGGCAGTCCAAATGAAGCTCTGTACAACTACTGTAATTAAGCAATCATTATTTTTTTTAAAGATTTTTATTTATTTGTCACAGTGAGAGAAAGAGAGGCTGAGCAAGCAGGGGGAACAGAAGGCAGGGGGAGAAGCAGGCCTCCTGCTGAGCAGGGAGCCCGATGTGGGGCTTGATCCCAGGACCCTGGGATAGTGACCCGAGCCAAAGGTAGTGGCTTAACCGACTGAGCCACCCAGGCGTCCCTAATTAAGCAATTATTTTACTTGCCACAAGGAAGAAACTAAAAATGAATACAGAGAAAGCAAAAATTGTTGCTGTTATTAAACCCCATTTCCAATAGAGTTCCCTGCCAAATACTTGAGACCAGTCTTGTTCTCTTTTTGTTAAAAAAAAAAAGGGAAATTAAGGTTTGATCAGTTGTTTATTGCTATGATAGTATTGCATAACAAACAGTGGCACACATTTATTTAACACACATTTCTGTCTCACGAGTCTCAGACTAGTGGCTCTTTCCATAGTGGTCAGCAGAGGCACCCAAAATCAAGCCAAACCCTGTAAGGACATTTAAAACTTCTGTTTGCATCATCTCTGTTAAGATTCTATTGGCCAGGGGCACCTGGGTGGCTCAGTCGGTTAAGCATCTGCCTTCGGCTCAGGTCATGATCCCAGGGTCCTGGGATCAAGCCCTGCATGCAGGCTCCCTGCGCAGCGGAGAGCCTGCTTCTCCCTCTCCCTCTGCCTGCCACTCTGCCTACTTGTGCTATCTGTCAAATAAATAAATAAAATCTTAAAAAAAAAAAGCACACAAAAAACATTCTATTGGCCAAAACAAGCCACAGACGAAGCTCAACAGCAAGGAGCAGAGAACCATATTCTTCCCTGTAGGAGGGTGTGTATGGGAGAGGGGGCGAGTAGAGAGCAAATATTTGCTAGAAAACAAATCTACTCTACCACAGAGGAGCAGAGGACCTAGAAGTCACAAACTGAGAATTTCTAATTGACTCAATGGAAGGGAAATGGGAAGGGTGAGCTCACTCTGGGTTCTGGACAAAATCAGAATTCCTTTAGCAAGGAACAAGGGTGGTGTAGAGGTGACTATGGGGAAGGCCACTGAGCGAGTGTATTAGTCCGCTAGGGCTGCTGTAACAAAACACCACACACTGGGTGGTTTAGACAACAGACATTTATTTTCTCACAATTCTGGAGGCTGGAAGTCCAAGATCATGATGCTGGCAGGGTCGGTTTCCTCTTGGCTTGCAGATAACCATCCTCTTGCTACTTCTTCACATCATCCATCTGTGCAATGCACCCCTGGTGTCTTTCTGTGGGTCCTCATCTCCTCTTCTTTTAAGCATGCCGGTCAGTTTGGATGAGGCCCACTCTAATAACCTCATTCTAACTTAATTACCTCTTTGAACACCTTACCTCCAAATACAGTCACATTCTGAGGTACCGGGGGTTAGGCTTTCAACATATGAAATTGGGGGGACACAATTCAGGCCATAACAACAGGAGAAAAGCAATGTTCACCACACTTGTTCAAGTGCCTCCCTCCTCCAAAAGTTGCCTCCTTGATTATGTATTTTCTTCTGTCCCTTCCTCTCCCAATTAATGGTTATTGGACAGAGTAGACTACATTAGCTGTTACCTTCTTTTTTTTTTTTTAAAGATTTTATTTATTTATTTGACAGAGAGAGACACAGTGAGAGCAGGAACACAAGCAGGGGGAGTGGGAGAGGGAGAAGCAGGTGTCCTGCTGAGCAGGGAGCCTGATGTGGGACTCGATCCCAGGACCCTCGGATCATGACCTGAGCCAAAGGCAGACGCTTAACGACTGAGTCACCCAGGCGCCCTGTTACCATCTTTTCTATATGTCATAACCCATAGCTAATTTTTCTCCCCTTATTTACTCGTTGAAACTGTTCTTTTGTTTGGGGTTTCTTTCTGGAAGTTAAGTTTTCTAATGTTCTTGCTTCCAGTTCTGACCCTTGGCCATTCTGGGCAATGTTAATGAACTCTTTAATTGCTCTCTTCTTTCTGTTATCACACCTTGTCTTTTCTTTTTTTAAATTTTTTTTTTAAGATTTTATTTATTTACTTGAGAGAGAGAATGAGATAGAGAGAGGGAGCATGAGGGGGGGTGGTCAGAGGGAGAAGCAGACTCCCCGCCGAGCAGGGAGCCCGATGCGGGACTCGATCCTGGGACTCCAGGATCATGACCTGAGCTGAAGGCAGACGCTTAACGACTGAGCCACCCAGGCGCCCCATACCTTGTCTTTTCTGAGTCTTCTCTCTCAATATATGCCAACCTTGTTATGACCTATATTAACATGACCACAACTGAATTCAATATTCCCACCTCAAACCTGTTTCTCTCAGAAAGTGTTATAATCACCTACCCAGTGTAACTGATCAAAAACTGATCAAAAATCATCCTTAAGTGCCTCTTCTCCCTTAACCCCAACTGCCTTATTTAGTCACTAAGTCACAAAGTTCTAAGAAGTAGAATTTCCTCTTCTAGGAATTTCTCAAATTTGGGGCACTTGGCTGGCTCAGTCAGAAGAGCATGTGACTCTTGATCTCGGCGGAATGAGTTCAAGTCCCACGTTGGGTATAAAGATTACATAAATAAATAAATATTAAAAGGAAAAAGAATTTCTCAAATTCTCCTCTAATGTAGTCACCTTTCAGCTACTAAAGTAATCATTTAGAAATGCACTGTTACTCTTCAGATGAAGTCCAAACCATTTATGCGTGTGTTATAATAATCCTCCTTTTATCACTTCAGAATTTGAACCTGATGTTGAAATAATAGTGAGTGTCCCTTCCCAGGCTAAGTTCCTCCTTCCATATACAAATAATGGCAGCAAGCCTAGGGCACCTTATGCCATCAACACACACACAAATTTGTTAGTCTGGGGATCTCCCTAGAGCTAATGATTGCCCAGGGAAGTTGTACACATCCCATACTGGACCACTGGGACTTGGTAACCCTTACTTCTTGGTTCTCAGGGTTACTGGGGTATCTTACAGGCTTTTGCTAGATAACATAGGAAGGATAAGGTGGTCTATCTTTATCTCGTCCTGAAAAAGACCATATTCGATGATTTCATTATAGTCACAGGAAGCCAATCTTTGTGAAAAGGACTGTCTAAACATTATGATTACTTTATACAAGCTGTCTGGAAAAGGGGATGGAGTGGAGGGAGAAGAGTCAGATGGTATACTTTGGGTAGGTCATACATTTCCCCTAAAGATACAGGTTCCCATCATGAATCATTTCTGAGCCTATGAGCTGGGCATGGAGGAAGGGGACATGATAAAAAATGATAAAGTGTCAAAATGAACTATCTGCTCGATTTTAAATTTTTGAAAGCTGTCAGTTAAATGATGCTCCCTTAAACAGAGATAAATCCAGACTGAGAAAGACAAAGTTTTGCTATTTGATTAGCAGACTGTGTTTCTCTACTAGGCCAAACATAAAACTCTGGTGTCGTCCAGTGGATTCCAGGAGGAGTATATCACAGGATGTACACATTCTAGTGGGTATTTTTTTTTTCATTTTTTTAAATTAAGTTCAATTAGCCAACATATAGCACATCATTAGTTTTTGATGTACTGTTCAATGATTCATTAGTTGAGTCTAACACCCAGTGCTCATCAGATCACGTGCCTAGTGGGTATTTGTCAGGGGCTGGAAGAGAAGGCAAGTGAAAGGAAAGGACGCATAGGTGTTGTAGGCAAATGGGTCTAGGTTTGAACGTGTAGCTGTCATTTACTAGCTATGTGGCTTTGGGGAATATCACTTAATCTCTCCAAGTCTTTGTTTTCTCCTCTGGAAAATGGGAAAAATAAGAGTACCTGAATCAAGGGGTGACTGAACATTAATCAATATATATATTTGTTTGGCATAGTGCCTGATACTTGGCAAGAGCTTGATAAATGATTGATATTCTTATTACTGTTGTTGCTATTATTACTAAGTATTCTGATGGAGAAGGGCCTAGACCCTCAGAGATCCTTTGCTTTCTCCAGCTCACTTGAACCTGCTAGGAAGATTCATCCTCCATCCCTGGGTTGGAAATGAAGCCCCAGAGGCCCCAGGAACAAAGTTTGTGGCTCATCATTCAATGCCACCCTCCCCTTCTTTACTTTCTCCAAAGATAATCCCCATGGTCTTGATTTAAAAATGATTTTATTACTTGATTATAGGAAGAGTAGATATTACCACAAACATGACCCATGGGGAAGGGACACTTTATTTGAGGTCCCTATACTGTTCTCACACCTATGTTCTGAGGTTTGTAGATGCCACACAGAGGTGAAACATGATAGTATTTATGAAATGCCTAGGACAGTGTCTGGCATGTGGCAAGTGCTCAATAAATGAAGATTTCCCCTCCTCTGGTCATGACTATCCCGAGATTTGGGGTGACTTGGGGAGGCCTCCAATGTCCTAACCACGTGTGCAAGTCTGTCTGTATGGAGGCCTGTCCAGGGGTGAGATGGAGTGTCTTGACCTTTCATATCCTTCCTAAGATCCAGGATTCTGCTGGACTCTGCCACTGTCTGTTTATCTGTCTGTAGAAGTAATCATTAGTTGCTCCCCCGTCTCCTGTTTTCCATCATTTTTCTTTATCAGTCTCTCTTACTATTTTTATTGATTTTTATTTCATCCCTCCCTCCCTCCCTTCCTTCTTCTCTTTCTCTCCCTTCCTCCAATTTTCTTTCTTCCATCCCTCCATCCCAACTTCCTGCCCTCCCTCCTTTTCTTTCCTAATGGCTTTCTTTTGCTGTTTCATTCTTTCTCTAATTTTTCTTTCTTTTTTCTCTCTTCCCCTCTCCTTTCCTCTCTTTCATTCCCTCCCTTTCTTCTTTCAACATCTAATATGGCAAGATTTTGTGCTAATAACCAGGGAAACACAGAAATCAGTTGTCTTGTCATAAGGAACCTCATATCCCCAGGGGAAGGCAGAAGGCCCAAAGGGAAATGGAAGTAAGTAGAAGTACAGCACCCAAAGGGACGCCCGTGCAGGTGTCACTGGGCCACACCTTGCCTAGATGTCTTCCACTCCTTGTCTCGAAGCTTCTTCCGCTGGATTTTCCCTGTGACAGTCTTGGGCAGTTCTGAGACAAACTGCACCTGTTGGGAAAAGTTAGTCCAGGGTGGGCCATCTCTAACCTCAGTGGGGTTGGATTTTTCAGAAGCACTGCTATAGGGTGAGAAAAAGCTCTTGAGGCAGAGGCTCTGGGTGAGTGAGGACTGAGCCTGGAACACTCCCAGGGCAACCCCTAGGCAGTAAGAAGCTTTGGAAAGTGCTCTGGGACCAAGGCAAGAAGAGAATGGCTGGAATGGGACATAAAGGTCTAATCAATGGTGTTTGACATACCCTAGGACAGGGGAGAAGCAGCACAGTAAACATGACTTGACGCAGTCCTCAGACACCTGAGCTTTGACATCAGACTCCTTGGGCTGCAGTCTCTCCTCTACCACCTGCCTGGCTTTGGACAGGTCACTTGGCTTTTCTGAGACAGTTTCCCCACTGAGTTAGCTGGAGGGCAGCAACAACTTTGTTGGGTTATTTGAGGATAAAATGAAATTATGCAGGCTAAATTCTTGATGGGTAAACACTCAAAAATATTAGCTGTGGTTATTAACCTGGACTACAGACAGTAAATGTTTAAGAGTTAGGAAACCTGACTTTGAATTCCAGCTCAGTCATTTCCTGTTGGCAGAACTACAAAATCTCTCCAATTTCATTTTTCATATCTGTGGGGAAAAAATGTTTGACGTTGAGGACCCCTCCATCTCTAATATTCCTGAATCCTAAGATATGGACGATGAAGACAGTTCACTGAGACTTCCTGTTAGAAGGCTTGGCTTGCCAGGGCATTGGTCTAGGAGTCAGATGGTCATGGGTTTGATAAAAATAATAATAATAGGGATACCAATATAGAAAAAGTTATCTTCTTAAAAGCTGATGTGGGGGTCTTCCACAGGCAAGACTGGACTTTGATGAGGAACAGGTTTGTTAAAAATCACAGTGGAATGGAGCAGGGATTGGCAAACTGTAACCTGGGGGCAAAATCCAGCCCTCCTCCTATGTTTGTAAGGGAAGTTTTATTTCAACACAGCTACATTCATTCATTCCCAATGGTCTCTGGATGCTTCAGCACCACAAGGTCGAACTGAGCAGATAGAGGGTAAAGGGTGTAGATAGAGGGTAAAGAGAAGCCACAGAGGAGATCTAGGAAGTGTTTGGTCTCAGGAAGGAGGGAAGAGATAGAAAAAGTGCTGCCCAAAGCATTCTAGGGGAGAGACTTTTAAAAAGAGACACATCTATTGAGTAATATAATGTTATACTGTGGATCCACTGGGTCCTCCAAAATATCCAGTTACAACTCAAAATTCATAATATTTTGGGTGATTAGAGTTCTAGTTTCCTTTTAAAGTACTTATTAAATGCTTATTATATGCTAGTCTTCTGAGTGCCTTATGTCTTAAAAATATTATTAACTCTTCTTAGTAACAACCTGGAAAGGGGTAACACCATTTTCCCTATTTCACAGATAAGGAAACTGAGGCACAGAGAGATTGTTAAGTAAGTGATGAGGATGAATTTGGAATGCAACTGTCTAATTCCAGAGACTGTGCTATACTGACTGCCTTACTATGAGTTTGAGGCTGAAAGTCCGTGTGGTGGACTCTCTGATGTGCTGCTCAGAGGCCCCTGCAAGAATGATTTAACCCTCCCACCCCACCCCCCCCACTGCCAGATTGCTGCAGCCAAGGAAAGCTGCCCTTCCCAGGGCCACATCCCCATCCCAGCACAGCCTGCATCCAAGCCTGATCGACATGGGGCTATAAAGCACCCTCCCAACCTTGCCTGTAGCTCAGGAAACTCTGAAAGGTTGTCCGAGCTGCAGAACTCCCCATGGGGTTGACTGAAGCCCCCTAGTGAGACTACATCACAGTGCACCTTCACCTTCTGCCCAATCCTGCCCCCTTCTCTTCCCTTCCCTTCTCTTTCTTTCCCCAGTTGTTGATCCCAAAGCACTCCCTAATAAACCTCTTGTATGTTAATCTCCCTCCTAGAGTCTGTTTCTCAGAAAATCCATCTATGACAATTAGCCTGTGCTAACAAAGCATCAGTGAACTTCTGGGTTCTGTACACATCTCAGTAGCTTTAGGCTTAACATAGTTGCTCTTATCTCTACCTGAGACTCAGAAATACATATTTTTTTCCTTTCCCCTGGGGCAAGCTCCTATCTTGTACCCACTTCCAAAAACTGGGTCCCCCTTCAGTGTCAACTTCCATGCCTTAGTTCCCTGCCCCAGAGCAAAAACAGGTAGAGCAGATTCTATGCTTTTTGGCTTTTCTGGTAAGAGCACTTCCATTTTCCTGTGGGAAGCCACGCTTCTCCCCTTCAGTCCATATCATAGGTATAGGGCAGTCTTCTCTGTCTTTCCTGGACATGACCCAGAACTGGCCAATCAGAATGTTCCATCACCCTGGTTCTAGGGATTATTTAATGAGGGGCCCATGACCTAAACTGGTCCAATGAGAATCAATCTGAAGACTTCTGCTGGTAACTTTGGGGGAAAAGATGCTCTTTTATTACTGTGATTTACTAAATTGCTAAAAACCTGTGTTTGGAGCTGCTGGTGAACCTTACAAAGGGGGAACATTTTAAGAAATGAAGACAATACAGAAAGAAGCTCAAGGGGGGAAAGAAGCATCCCTGACTACATCATTTGAATGCCTGGTACCAGCCACAACTGAAGCTGCCCCCACCCCTGGACAACTGTGCAAGCAATAAAGTTCGTGTTGGATTTCTGTTGCTGACAACCGAAAGAATCCTGAATAAAAATGGTGAGACCCCAGTGCAAAGAGTAGGAATTTGGCTAGGTATTGACCAGAACTTATTCCCATGGGAGCACCCAACTTTCAATTCAAAGCAAGCTAAAGGCTGAGGCAAAATTTGAAGCCTCCAGACAGCTCCTGGATGGTCATAATCAGGCAGAACTTTGGAATTATAGGCCTTATCCAGAGTCTGAAGAAGAGAAATATCTCTCCTTCCTCAAGTTGGGGGAACAAGGGAGCTCAGAGGCCTCACCTTCCTTGGGTACTTGTATGGGGCTGTTACTGACTTCACATGCTGCTGCAGCTCCTTGGTGAGCTGATCTGGGTCATTGGACAGAAACTGGGGGGCCAGGACCACAAATGCCTTCACCACCTACAGCAAAGATGAGGGCCAAGAGAGAAGGGATCAGTGTGTTGTCATCTCCTGGAATAATGCAGAAGCAGGGTTAAGGCTTCCAACACAGCTACCCCCTTTATATCTCCTCAACTTTGCCTCCATATACCTAGGTGAGAGAAAGGGAGACAGTAGCGATAACAATGGCTAAGGTCCCAGCTCTCTCTCAAGTGGCTTATTGGATGGGCAGGTAGGACTGTAAATTGAAAGCACTCCCACCCATATCCAGAGATAATAGAGAGTGATAGGGAGAAACTCCTTATAAGAGAAGAGCAAAAAATAAAGACTGGGATCATAAATCTAAATGATTTGTTTAACCAGTCCAAACTACAGTTTGTACATCTATGAAAGGGTGATCCAATTGTCATACTTAATTCATGGGAAATAAAATGAAATCATATATAGCAAGCCTTAGCTCAGTGCTTGGCACAGAGGGATTTTCAATAGGGGCTCCCTTTGGGCCGCCCTTGCCTAGTGGCTCCTGTGATTTCCATGCTGATGTGGCCCATACCTGCCAGAGATAGGATGTTATTCAACTTGTACCCTGTCAAAATGCACTTGGACAATAACGCTCACCTCTGTACCTTACCTTTCTCTATACATATACCAAGTTCTGTTGGACTCCATCTGGGCCTGTTTCCACAACCCTAGCATTAAAGGGGTCTTTCTTCTTCCTTATATTCTCATTGTAAAGCCCATGGCTAAGTAGCTCTATCTCTTGCCTCAAATCCCTCCTCTGTTCTGGTCAGGAATCAAATTCTGATTCAAATGTCAACCAGCAGAATGGAAGGAATCCCTGTGGCCTCATAATAATAGACCACATATGGTGCTTGCTATGTGCCAGGCCTTGTTGCAAGTACTTTATGAATATTAACACATTCAATTTTCACAATAACACTTCATCTTACAGATGGGAAACTGAGGCTCAAAGAGGTTGAGTAACTTGCCCAAGGTCACATCGCTGGTAAGTGGCAGGGCTTTCCAGCCCCAGATTCCATGATCTTAACCACCATGCAATGTGCCCTTGTGTCCAAAATCTGCACATCCCACCTCCCACCCTTGCAACTCCAGGCTGCTGCTCCCATGTCACCTCTCCTCGGACAGGGTCCGGACTGCTGATTACAGCTGTCTCAACCACAGCAGGATGCTCCATCAGTGCATTCTCCACCTCTGAAGGCCCGATCCGGTACCTGCAGAAGAGCCTGTCTTTCAGAGAACACTGGACACGCAACCTCTAGGCCAGCCCAGAAGTTCAGAGCCAGCCAGAATAAAGATCCGGGTTACCCTTCCCAGCCCAGAAACCAAGCTCACCCGCTGGAGTTAATGATGTCATCTGCCCGCCCTAGGTACTGGAAATAGCCGTCTTGATCCTTGATTGCCCGATCTCCAAGGATCCAAAAATCTCCTCGAATGTTGGCTGCTGTCTTCTCAAGATTGTCCTAGTGACCACAGTAAGTCATAGTCACTGTAACTGCAAAGCTGAACTCCTCTGCCCCAGGGATGGCATGAACAGATGTGTAGATTAAACAACTTCACATGATAATCTTGCCCTGGACCTGCCAACCTCAGCCCTCAGATGGACCTGGAACTTTCTCCTTTATTTCAATTATTGTACCCAGTGTCTCTCCTCTACTCCCCAGGGTCCAGTCTGATGGATAATATTGATGCATTTATTCACCTATGCTCTAGGGCATTACCTTGTAGTAAGCACACAGTAAATGGCAGTGACTATTAGTATTGCATTTGTTATTTAAGTGATTATTTCATCATGTTGGTATCAGAAGGTGTGTGTTTGAGGTCTTCCCTCTCCATTTTTTCAATAGTAGCAGTCTTGGCTGACTCTTATAATCTCTGACTTCACCATCCATCCTCACCTGTACAGCAAGGTGGTTGGACATAAGGATCATCTATTTCTAACATTCTAAGGTTTGAAGATAGGGATGCTTTCAACTATATGGTGAGTTTCAATGTCATGTCTAGCATGGCTCTAAAGGAAATTGATGACATAGAGTAGGGGAGAGATACTTGGAGAGGGGCAGAGCTGCCCTTGGGAGAGTATTGCTGTATGTAGTTTGGGGGCAATAAATTTTTTTGTCATGAAACAGTTTTTGGGGCGGGGTGGAAAAGGGTAATGGGAGAAAGATTAATTCTTCAAAAGGAATCTTAGGGGTAGGTTAAGGATGGCAGGGATGAATACCCAGTTTTTTCTCTCTGCAAAGTGCCCATTCTTGGACACTGGACACCCCTTGTCCCATGTCCTGTCATGGTTTACCTCTTAGGAGGTACATATCTTTGCCCCCCACCATCCCTCTCAGAGTCCACTATCCCCACAAGGAACAGAGGGGAGGAGTGGGTTCCTCACCACATAGCCAGAGAAGATGCCTATAGGCCTGATGGGCTTTACCCGGATGCCCAAGTCTCCCTCCATGCCAGGTGGCAAGACCTTGCCCTCGTCGTCTAAGACCTGAAGGAGGAAGCATATAGGAAGAAGATTCTGCATAACAGGAGGTGGCTGGAGTGAAGAGCTGAGCTGGTCTGATGGAAGACCCTCTTGCTCCAGTGGTAACTGAAAACAAGAACCAGAAACCAAGGAGAGCAAAGAATTTTACACCTCAACTTCTAATCCATCTGTCTGGGATGGTTGAGGTAAAGCCCCCTATGGAGACTGGACCAGATGAGCTTGGGAAGAATCTTCTGTCTGTAGGAGCTCAGTAAATATAAGAGCCTCTTATAATAGCTTCATTATCTTTGAGGGCCATGAACTTGAACATCAGACAGATCAAAACTCAAAGTATGCCCTGCTGCCCTACCAGTTGACTTTGAGCTACCTGAGCTCTATGTTTCAGTGCCTTCATTTGTCTTAACAGGGATGATAACAGCTTATGTCACAGAACTGTATGAGAATGAAGGAAGATATTTTTAAAAAGGTATTTATAGTAGTCAGGGGGAGGGAGAAGCAGGTCATTAGAAATAACACTGAATAGAGTATAAGTTGTTATACTTCAGATATATATGCACATAACCATAGATACAAATTCTATTTCTTGGAATTTAGCCCAATGAAATAATAATGGAAAAGAGCAAAATTTTAGCTAAGACATCTTGCTTGTTGTTTTTACTAGTGAAAGTTTTGGAAATCATCCAATGACCAATAAAAGGCATAGAGTAGTGGAACCATACAATCTACTACTATATAGTCATTAAAATTCTTGATCAAAACTCTTCAGACTATAGGGATAGAGGGTACATACCTCAATATCATAAAAGCCATCTATGAAAAACC